CTCTGTGGGCGGGGCCTCCTTTATGTCCCTTCTCTGTGGGCGGGGCCTCCTTTATGTCCCTTCTCTGTGGGCGGGGCCTCCTTTATGTCCCTTCTCTGTGGGCGGGGCCTCTTTAATGTCCCATCCCTGTGACTGTAGACGTCTGCACACTGTGCAGAGTGTCTGTTTCAGGTTTATAACTCTTGATTTTCTGTAAAGTCTTAAATAAAACCTGTTTTATTTACAGAAAGATAACAGTTTGACTCCATGATGTCTCAGTCAGTCATGTAACCAAACACACACACTTCACAGCAGGTTTATTCAGTCTCAGTTAATGTAACTCTTCTTAGATGACATATAAAAATGTAAAACTCAAATATTTCCAACTTGTAACAGACTTCATATCATTGAAGTGAAGTCAGAGTCGTCCAGTATCACATTTTAAAGACATGTTCTAAATAAATCAAATGATTCTTCACACATACAGAATATTTAAAGCACAGTAAATTAAATGGTTTTATAAAAAGATTAGTTTGAGTGTAATGAAACACTGAATGACTTTAACTGAACTTTACAGTCCTGTCAGGTGTGCTGGATCATTAGTCTGGAGCCAGACTCACCTGGTCCCTCAGAACATTAACAAATGTCTCCTTTCACCAACCGTTTACACCAACATGACCTGCATCTGTTTGTCAGCTCACATCAGTCTGACGTGACTGTGAAAACACACAAACACACACCAGGTACCTGCAGGTGAACCCACTCAGGTCTGGGCTCAGTCGGGCCACAGATCAGAGGACTGTCTGCCATCTTGTGGACAGACCTGGTCACTGCAGCAGCTCTGACCCTGGACTGGAACAGAGACTTCAGATTATATGTTTATTCTTCTTGTTTCCATCCATCAGTAATAAATAATTCATCCCTGGAACATGTGAACCTGACTTTATCTGCTACATGWTGTGGACTCATGTCAAACTGAAGGAATGAAGCAGTCTGACTGGTTTATACTGGAGCTTCTGCACATATGTTCATAGGGACATGTTGTTTTAAAGTGCTTCATGTTCATGTTGACTGAGGCCATCATGTTTTATTTATTTATTTTCCTCTTCATTCTGCTGCCTCAGCGTGGAGCCAAGCTGTTGGTACTGTAGTACTGTAGGATGTGCTAACACTGCACCTAAACAGCTCCGGGTGTTAGTGCTCTCCTGTGGGACGAGACAAATACACAGGATTAATGTCCCCACCAGCAGATCTATAAAATATATCTATGATTTTAAAATTCGTAATAACCCAGGTGTAAAACCGAACAAGGATGAGTCAGCTCCTCTGGACGAGTTCTTCTCTGAAATGTTTCATGTTTTTATTCAAAAGACTTCTTTCCTTCTTCTGTTGTAGGTGTTAACCAAAGACAAGCTTGTGTCTCTGCTGTGCCTGACAACAAACAATAAGATGATGATTGGATGAAAAAACAAACTGCAACCATTTTACAACAGAAGTGCAAGCTGAAAGAAACAGAGTTAAGCTGTTTATTTGTAAAATACTTTGCTTACTGATGTGYTGTTCTTGTGCTGCAGGATCTGGACCCATGGCAGGAATCATCAGTGCCATAGGAGTGGCTCTGGTGGGAGCAGCTTCCAGCTACTTCGCCTACCAGAAGAAAAAACTCTGCTTCAAGATCCAAGGAGGTCAGTGTTGGTGTCTTTGTCTTTCCCCAAACCGATGACAGGAAGTGTCTGACCCTCAGTATCTTCCTGTCGTTGGTGTCTTTGTCTTTCCCCAAACCAATGACAGGAAGTGTCGGACCCTCAGTATCTTCCTGTCGTTGGTGTCTTTTCTCAAACTGATGACAGGAAGTGTCGGACCCTCAGTATCTTCCTGTCATTGGTGTCTTTTCTCAAACTGATGACAGGAAGTGTCTGACCCTCAGTATCTTCCTGTCATTGGTGTCTTTTCTCAAACTGATGACAGGAAGTTTCGGACCCTCAGTATTGTTCTTTTCTCATTCTTCAGGTCAGGATCCAGAGAGTGGGAAGGTACAACARGGTATTCACTCCGATCCCCAAGGTATGTTTCTGTCCTCATTAMAGCTCTGATCAAAACTAAACCTGCTGCTCAGTCAGGAACCAAGAATGTCAACAAACCMGAACCAGAACCAGATGAACTGTAAATGCAGTGCAGAGTTCTGGATCCCTGCTGAAAGTGAAAAGTTAAATCAACCAGATCAGATCTACACCAAGAAGGATGTTAGGTAAAAGCTAAAAGTAGACAAAGACTAGCTAAAGGCTAATAGTAGATGTARCATAAAGCTAACTAAAAGTAGAAAACATGATAAGTTAAAAAGCTTAAAGCAACAAAATGCTAATTGCTAACAGTTACAAAATGCTATTTTTACATACATAGTGAAAGGCTAGCTATTAGCTAAAATTAACTAAACTCTAGCTAATAGCTTAAATTGACAAAAGTTAAAAGTAGCAAAATATTAAAAGTACCAAAACAATAATTAAAAGAAGCAAAACTCTTGGTAAAAGCTAAAGTTTGCAGAAAACAAGCTGAAAACAGCGACACACAAGCCAAAAGCTGCAAAAACAAAAGCAACAAAAAGCTAGCTGAAAGTTAAAGGTTTTTCCAAAAGCTAAAACTTGCAATATGCTAAATACACGTAGTAAAAGGCTAGCTATATGGTAGAATTAGCCACTAGCTAAAAGTCTAAATTAGCAGAGTTTAGGTGTTGGTCTCATGTTCTACCAGAGCTACTTTTAGCTGTTTATCTCTCACATTAGTTGAATTTTAGCCTTTCTTATTTGATGTAGTCACCTAGCCTTGGCAGCTAATTTAAAAGTGGTTGATTCTAAAAGTAAATTTTGTATAAATGTACGTCTGATAGTTACTTTCCACAGGTTTTATTCTTCACTTATTCATGAGATATTTTGCTAACAGACAAATGAACACACAGACAGCTGCTCTTGTCTTTGTTCATCCTGACTGTTCTGATGTGTTTTTCAGTTTTTAGCGACCTGCTGAAGACCGACAGGACCTGATCCAGCTCTTCAGCCGACGCTCTTCTAACATCTTCTGTGTGAAAAAACAAACTTCTTCTTTCGTTCGAAGTCACAAAGTCAACTTTTATCAACAACTGAATCTTTCTCTAAGTTTGAAAAACTAACCCTCCTGCTGCCCTTAGGTCAACTGGCCCACTGTGACCCTGGTGGGCCATTTGGACTCGAGGGCAGCAGGAGGGTTAAACGTTCCAGCAGTCCAGAAATGATTGTGGTGCTTTTATTTTGATAGTGTAGTGTATTTACTGAAGACAGGAAGTGATCGTCTGCACTTCCTGCTTCTCTGATTCTGACACTGAAGTATCACACAGCCTCAGTTTACCGYCGGGTGCAAGAAGTTTGTTCTCAAACTCTAATTGTGTCATATCTGAAAGGATAGTTCAGACTTTTCTGAGGTGGAGTTCTGTGGAAAGTTAATATCTTACCTGTTGCAGATAAATCTTTAAACAACCTCAGTTTGAGTTTAATTCTGGTTTGATTGATAATCATTTACTTTACACTGCAGTGTTCTTAGCAATAGAAGTATTCTGATATTCCTGCAGGAAGTGTCCCCAGACGTGCTACAGCTAGCTGCTGCTGCGCTAACAGAGCTTGCAAATAACCACAGAATTTGATGTAAATAATAAAATTTAAATTTATGAGACTAGCTCTGTTTTAAGGTGGCGATTAGCCATTAGCTCCTCCATGTGGTCATAATTAATGTTTGTTGTTTAAAGAGTTATTTACAGATAAAAAAACCTGAACTGTCCCTTTAAATGTTAAACAGCTGCTTCAACCCAAATCAGTCCACAAACAAGAAGCCATCCAACCTGCATGTTGTACAGAAACGTTGTAAAAGTGCCTTACATTTAGCCCTGTAGTCAGAAGTAGAACCAGGAAATGATGTCATGTCCAACTGAACCGTGATTGGATGGTTTTCTTTCATTAGCATAGCCTGATGGGAGCTTTTATGAAGGGAACAAAAGTAGACCGAGACTAGAACTCTGAGGAACACCATGATGAGGACTGAAGCGCTCAGAATGGTTGCTCTGCAGCCGAGCGGACGATGCGCGGTCGCTAAGTGATGCTAACTGATGAAAACGTTGTAGAACTGTGTTCCTTCAGAACCAGGATTAACTGGACTCTCATTGGGTTCTGCTAGCTTTGTACTATTTTGGCTCTTTTTCGTTTTTAACTACAATTTTGCTAACGTTAGCTTCATTTAGCTAGTTTTTATTTTCGCTAACATGAACTCAACTATGGTTTTAATGAGTTCAACAGTCTGCTACAATTTAGTTAACTTTAGCTTTTAGCTACTGTTTTGCTAGTTTTAGAAGTTCTGCGTTGGTTTTACTTTTTTCTCTCTAAATTTGTTAAAAATTCAGCTTCAGCTTAAAAAAAAGTCGAACAGAAAACGACTTTTTTTAAGCTCCTTTCATCACCTTTTATGTGCGAGGCGGCCATGTTGGATTTCAGGTCAGGGCTCTGAAACTTTCTGATTCAGGATTCTGACATCAGAGGAGCTTCTAGTGAAGTTTTATAAATACAAACGTTTGACTTCTGAGAACAAACGGAACGCACAAATAATTCTCCTTCACTGTTCTGGTACCATGTATGAATTTACACTTCCTGTGAGGATTTCAGAGTAAAAGTCTGCCAACTTTCTCAGGTAAAACTGGAAATGGTGTGTGAGTCTGAGTGTGCTTCTGTTGTTTGTTCAGTTCTGAAGCTTTGGTCTCATTTTCTTCATCATCTTACTGGATGAAAGTCCAGCTGAAGGAGCTTAAATCTGACCTGCTGCACAGTAAATTCACACAATGAACTGATGGTTTTAAACTTTAGGTGACAGAGTCAGACGTACGGAAGTCTGTTAACGCCACATCAGGAAAAATGATTCAGAACGTGAAAACTTCTCACATGTTTACATGTTATTAACTTTATACACATTTAACATGTTATAAATTCAAAATATATTATTACAGAATAATTTTTAATCAAAACAAACACAAAAACAACATTATTTAATGTAAAAAATATAGTAACAGCAAACTCTTTATTTAATGATGGATGAGAATATCTTTAACAAAAACTAAACTTTTGCGTTCTATAGGATTTATTTTTTTCTGGGTGGCAGCAACATGCTTCCATAGGACGTTACAAAGCTCAGTTTCATGTTTTTTATTTTTTATTTTTGTTTTTAATGTTGAAGTTAACCCTCTCAGTTTTTACAGCCTTTATAAAAACACAAATCAAGCTGAAAATTTTCACTTTTGGTCACTTTTTGACAAATTTGTTGTTCGATGCACTTTTAAATGTTTAAACCAAGTTTAAAACAGAAACTAATCAGAAATGTTGGAGAGTTTTTGCATTTCCTCTGTTTTTTTGCTTCTTGTGCTTCTTTCAGCAGATTTGTTAAATTTCCTTCAGACAGTGTTGTTTTAGTTGTTAGATAGTTGAAATAAGGACAAGTTTGTTGTTTTGATCTTTATCAGCTGAAGTCTCTGATGTTAAAATACTGAACCGACCTGTAAATAAGAAGTTCTGCTGCCTTCAGGTTTAATCATATTTGTCACTTTGTGTTTGACTTTAAGTTTTGTGTTATCAGATCTGTTACATGAATGTTACCTTCAGTTTGTGAGTTTCTCTAATGAACACATGTTCAATAAAGTTTGTACAGTTTGTGTGTCGTGTTGTGTTACGTCACAGAGGTTTACTCTCAGATCTGATGAGGATTAGCTGACTCGTTGGGGGTAAAGAAGAACTGGACTGGATCAGAACAGGTCCAACAGTTTGAGCTAAGATCAACCTGTCCCTGTCCTGTGTGGAGAGGATTTACAGAAACTTAACGTTAACCAGTGTTCCCAGAACAAATACGTGTCGCCCACCATGATTCATCTTCGGCTGAACTATGTTGGACTTTCAGCTGCTTTGGGCAAACCTTGAAACARAACAACTATCATTTCAGGAAATATCTTGGATAAGCTATTAGTTTAATGTGTACAATAAAAAAATGCTAGTTAAAGGGTCAAAGAAAAGTAATAACTGCAAAATACTAAATGTGCAAAATGTGAAAAAGTGCTAGCTAAAAGTAACAGAAAGCTATATTAAAGCAGAAATTGTATAACAAAGGTAAAAACAACAATGTTACAAAATAGTAGCTGAAAGCTAAAAGAAGCAAAATGCTAGCCAAAAAGTAAAATTGGTTTACTGTTATTTACCCGTTGAGATGTCTGATCTGTTTTTCAAGGCGACCTGGGCCTGAAGACATGTTGAACATGTTTTTAGTGGTGGAGAAACCGGAGAACACAGAGAAAACCCACACAAGCACAAGGAGRACATGTAAACTGCACACAAAGACCCCAGGTCTGAACCGGGGATCAAACCCACGACCTTCTTGCTGTGAGGCGTCAGTGCTAACCACTGAGCCACCGTGCTGGTAAATGTTAGTAAAAACATAAAAGAAGCAGAACGCTAACTAAAAGTGAAAAGAAAGAAAAAACACTAAAAGCAACAAAAAGCTAGCAGAATTGGTGAAGTGCTAGCTAAAAGTAACAGGACCAAAATGATAACGAAAACTAGACCAAGGCTAGGAAAATAATAAAAAATATATAACTTAAAAGCAAAGTGCTAAGTAAAAGTTGTAAAATGTTTGCTAAAAGTTAAAAAACAACACTTAAATGTACCGTCTGTGTGCTGGTCACCAGTGTGGAAAGTGAAAGTTGTTTTCTGACTGGTCAGGAGACCAGCAGACACACTGATGATTGTTGCACAACTGCCCCTGGCTGCTGGTTGAATGACCAGTTGGACAAACAGAGCAGACAAGCAGCAGGAACCTCTACAAGAATAAAAACCTGTGACTTCACCCTACAGTGTCAGACCTGTTCTGGCTCCCAGAGTGTTCAGGACCTGGTCCAGGATCAGCTGGTTCCTGGTCTCTCACTGTGGCACCGGATCACCCTGCAGATCAGTAAAACCTGGATTTGGAGCGGACTGACGACAGTCATGTCAGGTTAGTGACTTTATTTGAAATAAAGCATAAACAGATTGAAATGTTCTGTTGGCTGATTAATGGGAACACATTAAGAAGCAGTTTATTAAAAGTGTCTCAGTTCTCCTGAGTTCTGACTGTTCTCCCACTGTGACCAGTTCAATTACCAGCTGAAACCTGCAGACACGTTTTAGACAGAGAGCAACCTCTCTGCTCCTTCATGCCACCATGGAGCATGGTGCCAAGTGAAACCTAACCTCCACCCAGACAAAAGGTTACATCTCTGCGTCCTGCTGCAGGTCCCGGACACAGTTCTGATCAAACCCAGCAGAGCTTTTCCACCTCTCATTGGTGCRTTTCATTACAGACACAAGCTCCGATGCTTAGAAGAGTCTATTTTCAGGACATCGTCTCAGGAGAACTTATTTATCTGATTCTCCTGAGATAACGACACTCGTCTTCTCAGAGAACAAGTTATTTCTCTGCACAGCAGTGTGCATGAGCCTCAGATGAGTTTTCTCATTATCTCAGAATAACACAGCTTGTTTTCTCCTGGTGTAGTGAGTCTGTTTGTGTTGACTGAGAAAAGATACTATTGATGTTCTGATCTGAGCTGATCAATCAGACGCAGGTAAACCATGCTCATGTCTCCATCCTGCAGCTGGCGAGGCCTTTGTGACCCTGGTCACCACAGACTCCTACTGCCAGGGAGCCATGGTGCTGGCCCGAAGTCTGCGACGGCACGGGACGACTCGCCACATTGTCATCATGGTAACACCAAACATATCTGAGAAGTCAAGGTGAGTTTTCAGTCATCCCTGACCCTAACCCCTGTTACACATTTCATATCTGTGAGGTCAGCCCTCCTGACCCTCAGAACTCACCTGTAGTGGCCACAGATTTGTGCACCTGCTGAGAAACATGGTGTGTTTTTAAGGCAGACAGCTGAGCTGATCCTGTGTCCTCAGGAATACCAGAACCAGAACCACAGAGACACACAGGGGAAGAGTATCTCTGTGGTTCTGATGTTGGTAGAACTTTATAAACACTGGCCATGACTCTGGTGTCGATGGACACCAACACTCCTATTAGTAGAACATAGAGACCCTCTATGATTCTAGTGTTGGTAGAACATAGAGACCATCTCTATGGCTCTAATATTGGTAGAATATAGAGACCCTCTCTATGGCTCTAATATTGGTAGGACATAGAGACCCTCTCTATGGCTCTAATATTGGTAGGACAGAGACCCTCTCTATAGCTCTAATATTGGTAGAACACAGAGACCCTCTCTATGGCTCTAATATTGGTAGAACATAGAGACCCTCTCTATGGCTCTAATATTGGTAGAATATAGAGACCCTCTCTATGGCTCTAATATTGGTAGGACAGAGACCCTCTCTATAGCTCTAATATTGGTAGAACACAGAGACCCTCTCTATGGCTCT